ATAATATCTACGAACATAAATACACCACTCTCCAAATCTAACCGCCTCTTTTCGACTAAGCCGTTCGTAGGTTACACAACGTATTCGATCGACAAGCGACTGACTCACCATTTCGCTCGTGTCATTTTGGTGGTGACTGTGAGATATGAAGCGTTAGCTACCCCTCTCCCCTGATTCGAATTTTTACGTTAGTACGTGGAAACTCCTCTCTCTCATAACCATATTGTTAGAAAAATACTTCCCTACTGAAGCCAGGATGAATAAGGACCAGTTGAAAGAACTCCTGGACGGCTTAACCACTTCTTTTGCTCAGGTCGCAACTACCATTGCTAACTCTAAGAAGGATCCCGAAGATAAGAGAGAATTAACACACGTGAAAATTGCCCTCTTCTGCGGAAATGACGACGAAGACCTGATCGAGTGGTTGGAATCGTTTGAAAGGGCCGCCATTGCCAACAATTGGTCCAAGCAAAGAATGTTGAAAATCGTGTCGGGATATCTCCAAGGTTTGGCTGCAGATTGGTATAAAGGGAAAAAGGAACAGCTGAAGGAGTGGAAGGACGACGATGACCAAGAAGGAAGCTTTTACCATGCTTTCCTGGAATTCTTTGCTATGCCAGAGAAACGGCATCGATGGCAGATAGAATTAAACAATCTCCAACAACGAAAGGACAAGAAGGTGGACGCATATGCCATGAAGTTTAAACGATTAGTTGCAAGGGTCAATCTGAAAAGGGATTTGCCTGATGCTTATGTTATCCGGATGTTTTTAAGTAGCCTTCGTGGTAAAACTCTGACATTCGTCGCCGTGTCAGAACCGGAAACACTGGAAGAAGCCATTATCAGTGCACAAAGAGTTGAAGCTGGCGAATACTATAGTAAGCAGACCCAAGAAAAAGGTTACCAAAAGAAGCTGAAGGAGGAACTGGGTAACCTATCCCAAAAAATCGAGCAAATTGCATTAAATTATGCTACCCTTAATGAACAGCATACCAAAGAGTCGCGTGGTGATCATAGATGGAAAAACAATAGGGAACAAGAAAGATACCAAGAAACCAGGAAGGATTTTACGTGTTATAACTGTGGAGAAACTGGCCATATCGCTCGTAACTGTTTGTCGGAAAAGAAACCTAGAAGAGATAACATAGAGAAACGAGTTAGTAATTACATGAAGGAGGCAAATGAACATTACGACGAAGTCTGGGAAGAAGACGAAGTGTACACTTTAAATGAAAACCAGTACCAACCGTATGAAGGAAACAGAGAGAAGATGCAGCAAGGCCAATCTGAATCCTAGTGGGAAAGTAGATTGAGGAGTCGCCCAACTACCAACCAACCGTTGGTGAATCTGGATGGAGACGTTGGAGCTATGGAAGAGGATGAATTCGTACCAACCAGGAAGCCTAGAAGAAGACGTAATCCTTCGGTAATCAACAAGTTAACCCCTTATGATATCGTGGAGGATATAATGAATGCACCGGCCCGTGTTATGATAGGGCAATTGCTGCAATACCTCAATCAACGACGATTGTTGGCACAAGCTCTGCGAAGACCCCTACCTCCCGTCCAGGAAGCCAGTCACGTGAAATTTGAGGATGATAGGAAAACGACAGCAGCATGTTGCTACATTAGGATTCGAGAAAACCCAGTAGTGGCAGTGTTAGACTCTGGAGCAGCCGTCAGCATCATGACCAAGAAACTAGTTGATAAATTAGAGCTTCGTATACAATCAAAATCATCCACTGTTGTAGTCATGGCTACGGGTGCCAAAACAAGAGCACTGGGCAAAATCAATGACGTAAGGATAGTAGTTTAAGACACAATAATCCCTAGCACCCTACAGGTCATAGAATTGTCGAATGAAACCTTACTATTAGGAACTGATTGGTTCCAAAAAGCCAAAGCATGGCTCCATTTCGATGAGCGATACCTAATCTTGAAACACCAAGGACGGACGATCGAGGTGCCCATCTCCCACACTGGTACGGAAAGCCTAAAAGAACCTCAGAAGGATGATTGGGAGAAAGGTAGTGGCGATACTTTCGATGAGTTTACTTATGAGGACGAAGAATTAGATGAGATCGATGGATATTATACTGTGGAATCTTCTGACGACGAAATCGACCTTTATAGTAACCCGTGGAAGGACGAGGTCAGCCCAACAATATATTTGACGATAGTGAAAGAGGTACCCATCCAAAAGAACAAGGAAGAAACCAAACCTACTTTGAAAGAACAGTTAGAAAAATTCGTACAAACAGACACATTGAATAGCAGAGAAAAGGAAGAGGCTCGCACTTTCTTTAAGAAAGAAGGCTGTTTACTTACCATCAGCCTTGACAAATTAGGGACAACCAGCCTGGTAACCCACCATATAGATACCGGCGACGCCAAGCCTATCAAGCAACATTTCTATAGGACGTCACCCGACGAGCAAGAGTTCTTGGATGAGGAGTTGGAGTCATTGGAAAGACAGGGTATGATTAAAAAGTCTGAAAGTCCATGGGCGTCCATAGTGGTAATCGTTCCAAAGAAAGGTAGCAAAATGTGCATGTGTATAGACTACCGACGGCTGAACTCGGTAACGAAAAAGGACACATACCCGCTCCCACGCATCGACGACTTGCTAGAAACGTATAGAGAGGCGAATTGGTTTACCAGCTTGGACCTTAGGAGCGGTTATTGGCAGGTACGAATGAATCCATGTGACCAAGAGAAGACGGCATTCGTAATGAGGAAAGGCTTGTACGAATTCAAGGTGATGCCGTTCGGGTTATGTAACACACCGGCAACGTTTCAACAGTTAATAGATAAGGTTCTGGCAGAATACATAGGAAAGTTCGTAGTAGTATATATTGACGATATCAACATATACTCCTAAATGTTTCAAGAACATCTGGACCATCTGAAGAAAGTGTTTATTAAATTAAACCTGGCCAGGTTAAAGAAAATTTAGAAAAGTGTAGTTTCTTTAAGGCTGATATACAGTTCCTAGGACACGTCGTTGGGCGTAGCGATATCCAACCTGACGAGACGAAAGTCGATAAAGTAAAGCACTATCCAATACCCAAGACCCCTTGACAACTAAGGGCCTTTATAGAACTAGCATCCTATTATCGTCGGTTTATCAAAGACTTTGCAGTTATCACCAACCCTTGCATAGTCTACTGAAAAAGAATATTAAATATGAGTGGACTAATGAACAGCAAATTGCCTTCGAAAGATTAAAGACACACCTCACTACAGCCCCTGTCCTGAAGTATCCAAACTTTTCAAAACTCTTCTACTTACACACGGATGCATCCGGCACAGGATTAGGTGCAGTGTTAGTACAGAAGGGAGAAAATGGCAAGGATCATGTGATTTCGTATGCCAGTAGGGAATTGTCTCAGGCAGAGAGAAACTATTCGACCACGGAGCAGGAGTGTCTTGCCGTAGTATGGGCCGTCGAGTATTATTGCCATTACTTCAGGTTTAGGCTGTTCATGGTAATAACCGACCATGTGGCGTTAAAATGGCTCCATACATCTAAATTAAATGGATGACGGGCTAGATGGATTATATGGTTGCAGCCCTACAATTACATCATAAAGCACCGGGCTGGTAAGATGCACAATGACACCGATGCACTTTCACGACAGCACGATCCTCAGGAAGTCGGTAGTAATAGGGTGGAAGCAGATGTTAGTACGCAGAAATGCAGGAAATGGTTACTCTCACTAGCGGAATGTGATGCTGAGGAATGTGTAAATGAGACGGAATTAGATGAATATACTGGTTGGAGTATCGAAGACGTAGATTAACTGCTCACAATGACTATGATGAATGGGACGATAGTGAATGTATTGACAACGAAACAGAGGCATGGTGGGATCTCAACGAAGAGTTCGAAACATACCTGATGGTGGAAGAAGCTCCCGACAAAGAAGAAAAAGATATAAAGTTAGAAGAATACGTAGATTCGAGAGGTAATCCATCAGAACGTGCAGCCTCTGTTAATGGGCATGAACTTGGGAGCCACGGCGCTACCCCGATGGAGTTCCAAAAGTTGACAATGGGGTACTGTATGGCGTTACGCTTCACTCACCTGACTAGGTCCTATGGTAAAGTATACCATGTATATTCCCACTCAATCGAATTCGACCATTACGCCCTAGAAGTGCTGAATCGATGTAAAACCATCCACCTGGCACAACATTGCAGTTATTGATTGTTAGCACATGACCCTCGAAACTTGTCGATACTACGGGATTGGATTATTAAGGAAGCATGACAAGAATTGGCTTGGAGGAAATATTTATGGAGTACCAGAATCGATTTAGGATACACTGAGCCTTTGGATGAAGGTGCAATCAATGCCGATAGGGAGATACAATTAAGGAGAAATGACAGACCTATAATAGTAAAACCACTCAAGCTCAATAGCGAGCCCTCGAGGCTCAACTAGAATCTCAAATCGAAAATTAATAAAAGTTAACCGCTGCTGAAAGAAGAACCAACGTGAAGAAACACATAAACTAAAGTTTCACACGATACGTAGAAAATTTAAATCCGATGATAAATAATATCCAGACCAGGTTGTCGGTGTCCTGGCCATAAGAAAGAACCAATGGACCCAATGCTGTATAATAGGACCAAGCAATACATGAGCAACCAATACCTGTCCATGAACCTAAATCAAGCACAGAAAAACGGGATAATTAGATTAAGTAGAACCTTGAAATTGAAAGACGGGATTCTCTATAGGCCAAATGTACATTACCCAGATCAGTTGATAAGGATGGTACAGAAACTGGAAGTCGACACTATCTTACTGTGATGCATAATCATCCGACAGGAGGCCATTTTGGAGTGGAAACAATGTTCGAAAAGATTAGAGGCATATACTACTGGCCCAAAATGTTCAATGATATAAAGGAATACATTAGATGTTGTGATGAATGCCAACGAAGGGGTAAAAATAGATCAAAAGGTCCTCTAAACCCCATCCCCGTATTAGCTCCATTCTATCAAGTGGGGATCAATATTGTCAGCCCTTTACCTATTACCTCAAGGTTCAATCACTACATCATAGTGGCCACCGATTACATGACCAAGTGGCCTGAAGCCAGGGCTATCCAGTTCGTGAACGCTTAAGAAGTATCTAATTTCATCTTTGATGAAATTATCTGCTGACATGGGTGTCCAGAAAAGTTGCTTTCTGACCGTGGCACACACTTCCTTAACAATGTAGTGGATCGGTTATTAGAGAAGTTTCGCATTAAGCACCTGTTGTCCACCCCATACCATCCACAGACAAATGGGTTGGTAGAATGGTTTAACAAAACATTGTGTGAGGCTGTCGCAAGAACTATAAAAACAGTCAACGAATGGGATTTAGTCATACCGGCAATCCTGTTTGCATACCGAACAATGAGACATTCGACAACAAGAATCACACCATTTTTCTTGATGTACAGACGTGAAGCACAGTTACCTATAGAACCAAGTAAAACCAGGGAGTTAGCTAACGAAACAATAGTACGTAGAACAATAGAACTCATTGAAAACTTACCTTATGTTTATAACTTCGCCGTCGTACGAGTGCAGCACAGATGAAAATGAAGGAGCGGCATGACAAACAAATCTGTATAAGCCCCAAACTGGAAATTGGCGATAAGGTCTTGGTGTATCAAGCGTCACTAGAAGGTCATAGAAACAGAAAGTTCGAACCAAAATGGAAAGGACCATATTACATACATGAGGTACTACCCAAAAACGTATTCAAATTGAGGACTATAACCGGAAACGTTATAGCTTCGCCCATCAACATTGGACTACTAAAAAAGTATTACGACCTGCAAGATGACCAATGAAAAAAAAAAAAAATAAAACAATCAAATGAACAATTAGGAGAGTATAAAAAAAAAAAAAAAAAAAAAAAAAAAAAAAAAAATTTTGATTTATAAAGGAAAAAGACGAAAGGTATAAAAAGGAAAAAAAAAAAAAAAAAGCGTGGGAGGACTTTTTGATCAAATATAATTAACTCTTAACCATGCTGAGTTTAAATGAAATCATCGTTGACATCACGGCCCATGTGCCCGACAACGCCGAAATTACCCCACCGCCATTTAACGAATCACATGATCTCGTGACCGCAGTTACTTTAACCTACCCATTGTTGTCTCGAGCCTTGCAACTAAGGGATAAGGTCGAAACCTTAGTATATGCATATTACTTCGGCATGCTGTTTGCTAACGCCACCAGTGATCAAAAAGCACGAATGCGCAAGACAGTAACACCACATTATTACCATACGGCCATAAAAATCTACGACGTTTTTGTTTCTCGTGGTGTTCGTCAAGTTTACGGAACCTCAAAAGTGACCTTTCAAGACTTTAGGCGGATGACGAGCGAACAAGCCCGGCGGCTTGCTTGGTGAAGTTCGTGGGACTCACCTCGAGTTGGGGAGGAATGTGAGCGGTAGGATGGTGACGTCGGAGGCTCGTTGAAGCAGGAGATCAGTGTGGCACAGTAATGGACTGACGGCTATGTCGATCACTTACCAAAAATGGGCTTTTACCGGCAGTATACACTGTATTCGTTGTATACCTAATGTCG